TCTGGTGCTATCCTCTCAAATGGCCCTAAAGATGAGACTCGGTACAGAAACTCCGATTCCTCTCCATCTTCTTTGTCCAACCATGTCAGGCTGGATGAGTAACCTGTTATGGCCACAGTAAGTAGATTTGTTTCATTGTATATAGAGACTAATCCTTTTGCAATATCAGAAAAACTTTGATTGGTGCAAAGCAAATTTGTTTATGTTACATATTATGGAACGAAACTACAGTCATTCCCATATGAGGGAGTTCTGGGGCTCAATGTGGAGTCACAATAAATCATGTTTTTCTGAAGTCTGAACCAAAATATCATCAAATTGTACAAAGTTCAAAACAGGTACCTAAATTTTAAATCATAAAACCAAGAATGAGATCAGAAAAGCACTGGATGACATACACCTTAAACCCCACCATGATATCATTGACTATATTTTAGGTGCACACTACCAGCTTAAGTTTCAAGAAGCCTCCACTTTGAATGATGCATTCATTACTCAGGTAATGACTCAAAGCTTATTAGAAATAGTTTCGTATCTGTCTCAAACCAGAGTCTCTCTTTTCTCATCTTTCGTGCTTAGAACTACAGTTTGGTCATAATACAACTACCATATCCTATTAAGAAGTTATGATTTCAGTTTCAAAACATAATCATTTATTGTTCATTGTACTAGATATTAATTACGCCAATATTATAAATTAGTGGTACAATCATGGTAGTTCTTTCAGAATTCTCCTTCTTATTTGTGCTGATTTCTTACTTAAATAAAAGCGATGTTCTTGCAAAAGCCTACTGAATCATATTAGACATTCTAAATGGCCTCTAATAATTTGTGATTCATGATTTGCAAAAGCTTATGTGCATTTTGATTTTCTTAATGATATTCACCCTTCTAATGAAATTCTTTAGTGTTTTATCTAAAACTGGATCAATTGTTACTGAAGCAAATTAGCATAGGTTATGCGACTGATACCAAATAGGACTGCGAAGCCAAGTCCAAAAGATACTTCAAACACCAAGATACATAAACAAATAAAGTCTAAACTCTACACGTAATTAAGAGTAAAACCAATAAGAGAAAGCAAAGACAGATGTAAGTATTAAAATTTCAAGTAAAATACTAGCTTAAAAAATTACCACTAGATTGATGCAAAGCAGAAATGCAGAGTCCTTCAGCTTGATTAACAGTTGAAAATTCTATGCCCACTAAGCATTCAGTGAGAGCTTGAAACTGGACAAGTACCTCTAACAGACTCATTTCCGCCAGCACTTGCTTTACAGCATTCTAGCTGTACAATTACAGAAATAATCAGAGCAAGTGATGCAAACCAATGCTTCTAGCAATATTTTTCAGTAAGAAATACCTGCTGATAACATTCAAGAACCTCCAAAGACAAAGTTCCCTCTGACAAGTCTTTTGCCAATTCTCTAACCATGGAACCGTCTTGAGTATTGAAATCAGGTGTAACAGTAATTTCTATCTGAGCCCTAGAATTCTTTCTACCCTTTCTTGTCATTCTTCTGCTCAAATTGTCAGATACTTTCTGTTCTGCAACTAGAGAACATTCAGGAGAATTTACATGTGTATTATCATTTTCACCACCTTCTCTATGTTCTTCAATGTGCAGTTTTTTTGCAGCCTTCCAACTTCTTCAGATAGCAATTTATCTGCCGTAAATTTGAGCCATCACCCATCAGTACCTTTATCAGAATGTTGAACCAGAAAATCAAAAATAAACAGTAACTGATGATACATGGCAGAAAGGACTTTTTATGATAGATTTAGTAGGCATTGGGAATAAGACCAAAAGACTCAAGGATGCAACTGCCAGAACAAAGATATGTTAAGACAGAGATAGAGTTAACAAATAAATTGCATCAAGCAATCAATTCTTCGCTTACTTTTCTTGTTTTCTTTCATCAAAAGAATTTGGTACTTTGCACATTCGTTGTCCTTGCTGGACCTGCAGTAACTGCAACCAACTATTGGAAACCTCCAGTTTACAAAACCATCGAAAGTTGAAAAATTAGATCTTAAACACCATAAGGAAATGATACATATAGAAGAAGACATTGGAATACAAACTTGGATTGCAGACCTCATAGAGGCCACTTCACTTTTCAACTCATAAACTTCTGCATGCAGCTTTTCGTTTTCAGTTTTTAAGTGTTGCATCAACTCCTCTGCAGCTGCAATGGCAGAAAACAAACAATTAAGGAGTTTAGAGGAATCCTAATAAGAACACCAACATTTTAGCTCAAACTCACAAGCCAACAAGTGCATGGAATACACCAAAATCACTGAACTAATTATTAAGGCCACCACACATCAATATAATCTATCACCTTTTGAGCAAAATGAAAGAAAATAGTTAGACTGATCCCAAGAAGAATCTGAGAATATTCAAATTTATAAAATAGGAAGCAATCATTGGAAAAACAAATTAATAGGTGAAACCATCACTATAATGTCATCTACAATACACTTTATTAGAATTTAGAAGTAAATATCATTTATAAGAGGGTCTTAAAATAATCTTTACAATCATTAATTAGAACAGACTTTACTAATATTCCTAAGGAGATGAATCTGAAGAAAATAAAATAATATAAACAAGCTACTATTGTTTTACGTTAAGAAATCTGAAAACATAGTGATAATGACATTAAGAAATCCCTACCAGACAAATAGTCCAGAAACTTCTCTTCTTGATCTCTGTTGATATCATCTAATTCAGACAAATTTTTCTTCTCAAAAAGCCAAAAATATACATACATCAGATGAGGAAACAAATTAAATATCTCATTTACATCTCCGGCAAATGAAAAGAAAATAAAAATAAAAAATAAAAAAACTCCACTTGTTTGTGACTTAAAAATGTTACAAGCAAGCAAACTCATTCTGTAAATTTTCATTTAATTTAATTTTAAGAACAAAAAAGTGTTTTTCAGATCGACCTGCAAGAAAAATAGTGTGAGGAAATTGTTTAAATACATGAATCCTCATTCAGTAAATGTTACAAGCAAACAAACTCATTCAGTAAATTTTCAGGTAATATAATTTCCATGTTTGATTCATTAACGGTATTTATTTAATTTCTTAGGAAATTCTTGCACTTTTTTGAGAAATGAAAGAGAAAAGTAGTTAATATTTCATTCTTATTTTCCTCTTTCTTTTCAAACAAACGGATATAATCAAAGAACTGAAACAAATATGGAAGGTGGAGCATGCTATGGTTCAAATACATTATCAAAAAGGCCACAAAATATACCATATACCCAAATAACTGATTGGTAAACTCCTTTTGCTGAAGGTAAGTGTCGTTATCCTATGACATATGGGTGGGATGAAATAAGGGATGGGAAGAGGTTGCTCCCATTGT